CATGACCCTGAGATCATGACCTGAGCCCGAAATCAAGAGTTAGATGCTTAACCGATGGAGCCACCTAGGCACCCCACTTTTTCCTTTCTAACAAACATCTCTTCCACTAGCTAACACATCTGGTTCTGTATTGAATACAAGTGGTGACAAAGGATCATTTTATTGTTAATGTAGGACATTTGCTGTAGAGCTTTCGTAGATATCCTCTATCAAGTCAATGCAGTTCTTTTCTATCCGAGTTTGCTAAGTGTCTTTATATGGATGCTTGCTTTAATCATGAACAGAAATTCGATTTTATTAAATACATATACATCTATTGAGATGATCCTATAATTGAATTATTAGCTTTTCTAATTTTAAAACATCTTGGTCACTGACGTGATTCTTCCTTGATTATGATTTTTTTAATGTGCATTTTATTTTCAAAACGTGAAATTGGCCAGTCATTTTTGTCTCATATTGTCCTTGCCTGGTTTTGATGTCAAGGTTTGGCCAATCTCATTAAAATTTGGGAGGTTTTCTTTCCTTTCTTTTCCTTTGCTATTCTTGTCTCTGTGATAGTTTATATAAAATAGTTCTGATAGCTGGGTTCTTTTTTTCCCTGGTAGATTTTTAATTACTGCCTCAATTTTTTAAAATGGCTTTTAGGTCGGTTCAGGTTCTTATTTCTACGTAAGTTTATTTTTGTTATACTTTTCTAGGATGTTGTCTATGCTGTTTCCGAATTTATTGAAATAAAGCTTTTCTTATGGTGTTTTCTTATGATTTTAAAGTCTCTATTCTCTCTCTAGGTATGTCTCCTTTTTTATTATCAAATAGTTATGTATATGCAGAAGTTTAAAATGTAAATTTTTTTTTCCTGGGCCTATATTGAAAAATGTTAAGCACCTGTCCATTCTTCTCTAGATAGTGCTTTCCTTCCTCTGCAGCTACTTCCAAGTAGTTTAGCTGCTTCATCTGAAACATATCTTTATTAATCTAAATAAACTGCTTAAAATGTTCTTTTTCAGTTTGGCACTTTTATTATCTTTTAAAAATGAAGTTTTAGATCTATTACACCCACCCACATTTGTCTCTTGCACACCCATTCCCCCATTTTACATACATTTATATCACCACTTGGGGTAAAAATAAATCTCAGGGTTTATATTGTTGTGTCATGTAAATATTATTCAAAGGTTAGTTATCTAGTGCACCAGAATTTCATCTTTCATGTATATCTTTCTCCCCTTGAATTAAAACTTGCCTCAATTTTCTTTGGTTAATTTTTGTTCCAATCATTAATTTATCATATATATGATAAATTAATAAATTTATTAAATAATAATTACATACGATTAATACATTTATTAAATAATTATTATTAAATAATAATTATTAAATGATAAATAAAATTAAATAAATAATTTTAATAAATTTAAAAAATATATGTGAACAAGTTAACCACATCAGGTAGTCTATTAGTTTGATCTTCTGCTTGGTGGCATCATTCCTGGGACTCTCTGTGTCCTGCTTTAACCTGGACAGGCATCTCTCCAGCCAGCTACACCACTGTTGTCCTAAGACTCCCTCCCCTCCTGGGAATTTCCTTGGTCTCTTTGTTGTGTTTGACCTTTGTTTCCTGGAACCCAAGGCATTCCTTTGATTGGTTCACTCTTATGTTCTGGTGAAGCCTACTGTCCTTAAAAACAGCACATGATAATATAATTTTGAGATCTTGAGTGTTGAAAATGACTTTATTTACTTTGACATTTTAATGAATAGCTTGACTGTTTATAGAATTCTAGGTCAAAAACATATTTTCTGTAGAATTTTAATGACATTAAGCTATTATAGTTTCCAGGGTTAAGAAATCTAATGACACTCTATTTCATAATTGTTATTAGAGCTATTTTAGATTTCAGCAGAATTATAGAATCTTTTCTTTTTTACCAGTGTTCTAAAGTTTCTTGATTTTTATGTGTTGGTATAGATCTTTTTCAATTTTGTGGGTCTGTCAATCCAGATATTTGTGTCTTCCACTAATGAGAATATTCCCTATATTGGTTCTTTGACAATTCCCTCTTCTTTTTGAAGCTCATATTATTTAGGTATTTGTCTTCCTGAATTTCTTAAATTTCATTAATGATTTTCCACCTCTTTGTCTTTTGGTCTACTTCCTGGTGATTTTTCCCCCCAACTTGATCCCCTAAATAAATCTGGTCAACTTTTTTCTTTAATTTAGCGATCATATTTTAATTACCAAGAGTTCTTACTTGTTATTTGGTTGTCTGAATATTATTTGATTTACCACTTAAAAAAATTCTTTATCACTTTTTTCCTTGCTAAGAACTTATCTATCTTTACTGACCATTAGTTTCATTTATTTTTATTTTTTCTGCTTAATTTATGTGGTTTTATTATCAGTAGTTTCTATATTCTTTTGGTTTATACAGTTATACTTTTAAAAACTTAAGTTGAATGCTTACTCTTTTTCATTTTTTTCTTTTGAAAGATAATAATGTTATGAATTTCTTTGTAAGTACTGCTTAACTGTAATCCTTAAGTTTTATATATAGTATTTTTACTGGAATTAAGTACTAAAAATTGTACATTTCTGTTACTTACTACTTTTTCTTTGACCCACGGATTAGTTAGAAGTATGTGTTTTAAAAATTTCTAGGCATAAGGAGGGCAGACACTCAGTTGGATCATATTTTTGTTACTGATTTCTAATTATATTCGGGGAATGTGGCCTGCTTAGTATGGGTTTTTGGGTGCTTGTTGAGAACTGCTTTTTGGCCTACTACCTGGCAAATTAATGTAAATATTACATATTTTCTTGAAAAGAATGTGGGTTCTCTAATTTGGGGGAGAAGGGCTCCATATGGTATAAGGTCAAACTTGTGAATAGTGCTCAAATATTTAATGTCCTTATTAACTTTTGGTCAATTTGATCAAATGATTGCTGTGAGGATGTTCAACCATCTACTGTTATTGTGAATTTGTCAATTTCTTCTTATGATTCTATCAGGATTTTCTGTATTATTAAGCTATGTTAATGGCTGTACATTAGTTTAGAACATTTATTTTGGTATTTCTGGTAAATGGTTCATTTTATGGTTAGTAGTGACTGTTGTTATTCTCAAAAATGCTTTATAGGACTAAAGCAGATTTTGGTTAGCATTTTCTAGGCATATCTTATTATTTTTAAAATCTCCTCAATTTTGTTGTTGTTTTTTGTTTTTTCAACCTTTTGTTGTAGTCTCATACTTTTTATGTGACTCTTATAAACAGCAGATAATTGAATTTTTGATAGTTCTGCTCTGAAAAATCCTGTTCTATAACTGCAAGTTTAATATTCATGCTTATTGTAATTAATGATATATTTGGGTTTATTTTTCCCACTTAATTTCATGTTTTTTTAAAAAAAATGTATTGTGCTTTCTTTCTTTTTCTTTTTTTTTTTTTTAAACTTTTCTGTCTTCCAGTGGACTGATAATGTTTGAACAATCCCTTCCCATACCCTGCACCAATACGGATCTGAAAGCAATCTGTTTATATTTTTTAGTTACTACCCTTACGTTGTTAACATGAGTAATTGGCTAAAAATTATTATGACTTAACAGTAATGTTTCTCCACCCTCTTCTGGATGATAAAGGATCTTAGGAAGTTTCAAGTGAATTTTCTTGTATTTCTCATCTTATGTGTTAGGATTGTCCTGTTTTGGGGTTTTACCTTACGCTTATTCCCCTACATGTTTATTATTATTGTTACACAGTTAATCTTGATTTAGATTTCTCTCCCACTTGCCATTTTTTCTTCTCATATTACTTCTTGCAACCTGATTCTCCTTTCTGGATCTTGCCGCCTTCCTGAAGTTTATCTGTTAGTAGGGCTTCCTAAGGTGTTTTATACATAGGAAGTAGTCAATAAATGTTTATTAAATAAAGTAATTTAATCAGATGAACATAGTTTAAACTACAGTAGGTGTCTAGTTTGTGTATTGGGGTGATCGGTGGATCTTGCCTCATTTACCAGACAGATAGATAAGACACTTGAATATTGGGGATGGCAGCACATTACCTGGTTTTAGTTAATACCATGAATCAAGAGTAGGGATAGAACCCAGGGCTGGAGCACTCTCCACTCTTCCTTAGTATGTTTCTCTAGAATTCTGTCTCTAATACTAGGGCCACTGTTTTCCAGCATAAGCTTCTGGCCTCCATTTCCCTCTCTGCTTGCTAGGGCCAGACACTTGCCCCATCTGGAAAAGCAACATGGGAAAAACAGTATCCTCCTACTGCAGAGGTACCTAATGGATAAGTGTGTAGGGCCAGTGTCCAATGGCCTGGGATCTAATTCCCTCTCTAGCACTTATTAGGCAAGTTAACTGGCCTCTCTTTGACTCAGTTACCTCACCTGTAAAATAAGGATAGTAGCATAGCTTTGTTCTGAGACTTGAATGAGTTAATAACATACATTAGAATGGCGCGAGCACCTTTAAGCACCCAACAAATGTTAACTATGGTTATTGCCTGTGCCACTTCTTAGCTCCTCTGCTTCTTCGCTGGCTTTGGATGCTGGGATTGAATATGATTGTTCAAATTGGAGTTTCACTTAGGTTCATGATGATAGAACTTACAGACCTAGGCAGACTACCAAGGGGTTTCATTTAAGATATGTATTCAGGTTTTTCTCTGTGCTTTAAACAAAGCTGTCCCAAGAATCGTATCCTATATAAAGCTATATTCTCTTTTAGGGTTAACTTTTGTGGGAAAAGTCTCATTTTAGGTTCAAGTTGGTTCCAAAGATTGATTGCTTCGATAAGTTCATATTATTCAAGGCCCAATTCTAAGCAAATAGCTATAGACCCCAAACAATTCTTACTTATAATTTGAATCCATTGTCACAATGTGTTGAATCATATTTAACTTTTTTATTTGGTGAGCGGGGCATACACATAGGTGTGGTCATGGTTATTTTGTACATAACTACATAATTTCTTTGATCCTTCTAGTATGTAAAGAATTCTTGAACCGATTCTATAACTCCTTGATAGCCAGAGGAGTCAACTTTTCCCTGGACACCATAGAAAAGGAATTGGTCAGCTTTTGCTTGGATGTCAAAGGAAAAGAAAACCGCCTGGTATAGTAAATTTTCCCTGTTCCTTTTTCCTTATGCTTGAAGAAACTGTTAATAGTTTCATTTCTCATCTTAGTCTTAATGTTCTCCTGCTTAAATGCTTGCCTCAAGCATGTTCATTGTAGACAGCAGGCAGAAATTGATCATCCAGTGAAATGTAGTCCTATGTATTTTCATTTAGAATGTATCTGGTTTCATTTTGCTTTCTGAATAGACAAGCAATTCCATGTTTTAAGTAAAGTTACACAGATTCCTCATGAGAATTTTCTGTCCTGGGTTAACAGTGGGTAGACTCTTTATTTGTTACCAAGACTATTAGTTAAACCTGTCCAAACATTTTTATCACATCATTTATACATAACTAATGAAGTATTTATATTCTCTTATAATGGTGTTTCCTGGGTTTACACAGATGACTTTTCATTAAAGTGTTTTATTTCACTACAGATCATTGCAGGCCAATTCATTTTGCCTAAAATTTTCATGTTCAATTTGTCAGTTAAATCTGCATTGTTGACTGTTCAACACTGACACATTGTAAAACTCTCAACATTTATTTGTGCCATTAAGTTTCATATTTTTAAATGTAAATTGTCTCAGTTAGGCAGCTGGAAAGGCAGCATAGCATGATGGAGAAGGACATGGACTCTAGAGCCAAAATGCTAGATGTTTAAATTCCGTCTCTTCTGCTTACCAGCTGGTGACCTTCAGGTGACTTGGGTGTAAAATGGGGATAATTATAGTACTTACTTCACAGGATTGTTGTGAGAATTCAATAAGTTAAGACCTTTAAAGCCCCAAGAAAAGTGCCTGGCACAGAGAAAACACTTAGCAAACGTTGGCTCTTATTAGTCTTTGAGCATCGTGTGAATTGTAGGGCACTTCTAATTAACATGATCACGGGGATGGAATCATTTGTTTTCTGGTGCCTTAGTCAGCAGGGGTTAAAATTTAATAGCTGGGCCATGAAAACTAGGTTAACCTCTTTCTCACTTCTCCAAACTATATTAACTACTTTTTTTCATCACCCAGGACACTAAATTCTCTTTGTACTCCTTCAGTGCTATTATCTAGGTGCAACGAAGGATGCAGCCACAAAGATCCTCAATGAAGTTGCTCGCCCAATGAGTGTGCATATGCCTGCACCAAAGATTTGCGAGAAGCTCAAGAAGATGGACAGCCAGATCTGTGAACTGAAATATGGTATAATGGAGACAAATGTATTTTTCCAATATGTCCAGAGCATTGCCCATTCTCCAAACCAAGGTCCCTGTTTCTAAAAAGTCAGTGGGAGAAGGGAAGGTAATCTCCACTCGCCAGTAGGTTGCTGGGCTGCTGAATGGTGCCTAGCACCATCTGAGCTCCTTTAGGGAAGAGAAATGAAGACTGGCACAATCAGCATTCAGTAAAACTGCCAACCCGGATAGCCAGGTTTAAACTCTTAAATCACCAAGGCAATGTCAACTATGTGTGTCAAGGAAAAATTCCAAATGTAAAGGGAGCAGCTATTCATGGTGATTTAGCTCTTGGTAACCTATTAAGACAAAAGTTGCATCTATTCAAAGGCCATGTCGGGACTTTGAAGTTTTAAACATGGACTGTATCTTTTCCCCCTAGATTTGTCTACCATCTTGCCGGTTTTAAATTTTAGGAAATAGGTTATTCACATCAAGTCGGGTTGTGTTTTATGAAGTAAGCTTATCGAGGGTGCCTAAAGTAAACAGCGAGGAAAGGGAGGAGATGTCCTATTTAAAACATTATCCTTGGCCTTATGAATTTCACAGATATAGATCTATTCTTATACAGTACTGAGGATTTGTATCTGAGTCAGCCTTTTGGGTACACTGAATAGGTGTGTTGAAAGCCTGGGGCATCCCTCCCTTAGCCTGTCCTTAACACCTGAGATTTTACCAGGAAAGACTCACTTCTTTTGCTTAAGTCATTGTTTTATGTTACAGACCCACTGTAGTATTATAAACTACCTAAGTAATTAGCACCCAACTCTGAATTATTTTAGTCTTATTTTCCAACATAGCTGTGTAATATGCCTATGCACCATAGCGACAAAGCTGGCTTTAAATAGGTTTAAGGTCAGAAGATACCAAAGACAACCTACTTCTTAATTTGCCAAGGGCAAGCCCTAATCTCCAAGGTGGTGATTATGTGGAAGGCATCTGTTTTTATTGGCTTCCAAGTAATGAAGTAGAGGCAGGAATCATTGAGTTCATATAAACAATATTCACAAAAGGGACAAACCTGTCTTGATTCTTTCATTTGACAAATGTACTTGGAATAACATCTGCTATATACAAGGGATCCTACTTGGCTCCTTGAATAATAGAAAAATTATTCAGATATTATTGAAAAGAAATGCATTGTTACTAATCTTTTGGCAGTGCTGGCCACTAGAGGCCCTTGGGGAGCCATGAACTAGTTTTAATTTTGGGATCAACGTTTTCCTTATAATTTTAGGGTTACAGAGTTTTTCCTCTTTTAAAATGAATGTCAGATGCCAAGTTCTCTAGAAAAACTCAAAGACACTACTGACACTCGCAAGAAAATGTTTTATTTTTCCTTCAATAATTTATCTTGAATAGACCAGCAGTTCTAAATTCTCCTTCCCAGCTTATGGTTGGCAGGAAAGTTGAGATTGAACAAGGCTTCAAATGGTGGGATATTAATAATTTGCGCTATAAAAGCATCTATGTTTAAAGGTCTTTTATTAAGTCAGCCATGAAATGAACAAACAAGGTAAGTGTAGAGTGGGATTATGTTTTCAATTAGGAGGATGTCATTTGGCTTTTGACCTGAAAGTATGCTTTTGCTAGATCTATTTTTTTTAAAGGATGGGGATCACTATAAAAATTGAAGGGTCCCCTGAGCACAGGGTATAGCTGACCATCCAAATAAAAAAAGGCTTTAAAATTTAACTTTTATTTATTTTTTCCAGATTTATTAAGATATAATTGACATAAAACATTGTGCACGTTTAAGGTGTACAACATGTTGACTTGATACACTTATATATTGCAATATCATCACCATCGTGTTGGCTAACACCTCCATCATGTCTTATAAATACCATATCTTTTCTGTGATGAGAACATTTAAGGTCTACCCTCTTAGCAACATTCAAGTATATAATATAGTATTAACCATAACTACCATGGTGTACATTAGATTCCCAGAACTTGTAACTGGAAGTTCATACCCTTTTGCTAGCATCTTAATTTCTCCACCCACCCGACCCTGGTAAACACCATCCTACGCTCTGTTTCTATTAGTTTGGCTTTTTTAGATTCCATGTATAAGTGACATCATACAGTATTTATCTTTCTCTGACTTATTTCACTTAGTCCATTCTTGTCGCAAGTGGCAAGGTTTCCTTTCTCATGGCTGAATAACATTCCGTTGTATGTGTATACATGTGCATCACACACACACACACATCACATCTTCTTTATTCATTCATCTGTTGATAGATACTTAGGTTGTTTTCATATCTTGCCTATTGTGAATAATGCTGCAATGAACATGGAAGTGCAGACATCTCTTTGATATCCTATTTTCATTTCCTTTTGATACATACCCAGAAGTGGGATTGCTAGATCATTTGGTAGTTCTACTTTTAATTTTTAAAGGAACTTCCATACTCTTTTCCATAGTGGCTGTACTAACTAATACTGCCAGCAAGAGTGATTTTTTTCTAAATTGTTTCCAACACTTGCTATCTCTTAGGTTTTTGATGACAGCCATTCTAACAAATGTGAGGTGATACCTCATTGTAGTGCTGTTTTGCATTTCCCTATGGTCAGTGATGCTGAGTACCTTATCAGGGACCTGTTGGCCATTTGTATGTCTTCTTTGGAAGAACATCTATTCAGTTCCTCTGCCTATTTTTTTTAGTCAGATTGTTTGGGATTTTTTTGCTATGGGTTGTGTGAGTTTTTAAATATATTTTGGATATTAACTCCTTATTAGATATGTAATTTTCAAATATTTTCTCACATCCCATAACTTGCCATTTATTTTGTTGATGGCTTCTTTGCTGTGCAGAAACTTTTTAGTTTGATGTAGTCCCACTTACTGATTTTTGTTTTTGTTTGCTCTGGTGTCATATCCAAAAAATCGTTGCCAGAACCAATGTCAAGGAGACTTTCCCTATGTTTTCGTCTTGGATTTTTATGGTTTCGGGCTTTATGTTTAACTTTTTAATCCATTTCAAGTTAATTTTCCTAAGTGATATAAGACAGGGGTCCAGTTTCATTTTTTCCACATGTGGTTATCCAGTTTTGCAAACACCAGTTATTGAAGAGACTGTTCTTTCCCCATTGAATATTCTTGGTTCCTCTGTCAAATATTAGTTGACCTTATAGGCAAGGGTTAATTTCTGGGCTTTTGATTCTACTCCATTAGTATCTGTGTCTGTTTTTATGCCAGTACCACACTGTTTTATTATAGTTTTATAGTATAGTTTGAAATCAGGGAGTGCAATGCTTCCAGCTTAGTTCTTTCTGAGGATTGCTTTGGTTATTCAGGGTCTTTAGTGGTTCCATACAAATTGGGGTTATTTTTTCTGTTTTTTTGTGAAAAATGCCATTGGAATTTCGATGGGGATTGCATTGAAGCTGTAGATGGCTTTGGGTAGGATGGCATTTTAGCAATATTAATCTTCCAGTCCATGAACACAGAATGTTTTTCCATTTGTGTTCTCTTCAGTTTAGTCCGGTAGTTTTCAGTGTATAGATCTTTCACCTCTTTGGTTAAATTTATTCCTAAGTATAAAATCCAACTTTTAGATTTAAGCACACTAACTGGAAATTTTTGATAAGTCACTTGACCACTATGTTAGGTTGATAACAGGCTTTCAAATGCTGTGTTTTATTATGCAAGGGAAAAAAGGAAAGGGTTCCTCAAGAGAAGTCAAGCTGCAAAAGTCCTGGGCTGCCACTAATAAGCAAACTTCAATGTTGTATCCATGTTCAAGGACACACCTGGTCATGGGGGAGGGGGAAAGAAAAGAATTTCCCCATCCTGACAGGGAAATTATAATCATGAGTATGTTATAGATGAGCTTTGTTTGTTTTTCCTATTTTTGGGTCTGACAATAGAGAAGTAGCTGAGTTCTTCACATTGTCTGCAGGTAGTAAATGGAAACAGTAGTCTTTCTAGAGGAGTTGGATGTTAATGACAAGTGTTCCTGCCGGTTACTGGCAAGAAGGCTAGGAGCCAGATCGGTTGGCACCAAAGCGCCAGCATTAGAGAAGTGGGTATATCCCAAAAGACTGTCAATGAATGCTGTGATGATTTTGTAATCCCAGTAGGGACAGAGGATCAGGTGAGTTCAAGCAGAGATCCCAAACAATTAAGGACCAATGAGAATGCTCTTAATTTTATTCATGTGTTTTGGTGTCTTAAATTTGTATTTAAAAACTCGATAATGCTTTGTAATAGGTATGTCCATCTGTTTTAATGCAGACATGTCTTCGTATAGAAAGCGAACCATCACTTTCTAGTTAATTACAATCTAAGACTTTCATCTGGCCACACTCAAGACCATCCCAAGGCACTGCCATTTATCCATTCTCTTCTCTGTATCTTAGGAGCAGCAATTAGGGTGCAATGTAGTCATTTTAGTAATTATGGTCTTGAGAAGCCGAAAATTCTGCAAAGCTACCCAGGCCCCTGTTTTGAAGCAAATATAATTCCATGGAAAGCAAGTTGAATAGAACACTAATGATCCCAATAGCTTTGTACATAACACATTTTCCTTAGGTATGTCTTGGTTTCCATAGAAATTGGAACTGTTCCCCACTTTGGAACACAGGGTAGTCGGCACCAAGATAGGAAACACCACTGGCCTTTCTAAGTGTTTCACGGTTGTTTTGGTTTTTTTAAAAACCGTGCTTTTCCTCTTTGTTGTTTAGAAAAGAAATTGGACCTGGCGTCAGTGGACCTGTCAAAGATGAGGGTAGCAGAGCTGAAACAGATACTGCACAGCTGGGGAGAGGGGTGCAGAGCCTGTGCAGAAAAAACTGACTATGTGAATCTCATCACTGAACTGGCACCCAAGTATGCAGCAGCCCGCCCCAAAACAGAGCTGTGACCCTCCGATGCTGATGTGCCATCAAGGAGAGACACAGTGACTCCCCAGGATATGGACTTGTTGGTTAAGAGTAACTGGGAGTTGCGCTGTATGTGGTCTCATACTTTTTGCTTTGGTAACACAACCAACCAAGAATTGGTTACTTGGATTTACAATGAAAACTGCTAATATTAGTGGTCTCTTCCATTTGCAGGGTACCCAAACCTAACAGTGCTTTTCTTATCATTTTTGTAAGGATTATATATATTGTCTTTGCCCATTTCCTTAAAAGTGGGAAATGTGAACTACTGAAAAATTGATGGAGTAGTCGATTCAAAGAAGGAAGACAGTGCTCAGAGGCTGCTCTCTGTGTATTAAGTTTTAGTTAAATATATTGGTTTAGGATAAAAGAAACAAAGTTTGGCCTACCTAACTCCCACCTTCAATCCAAAACAATAACATGGCATAATCAAAGGTTTTAAAAAGTAAACTTTGTACATTCAACTGCAAATCACTCTACGTTCTGGCTCTTTTTGGTATCTGATATGGGAGGGCAGGAGGCAGTATTTGAAATTAGGATTTCCCCAAAGAAGGAATACCTATTTAAAACCTGTTTATACCTACTTAAAGAAAACAGATCAAGACTCCACTTAAATAGAGTCAGTGTTTTAGCAAATTGTATCAACACTCACACTGGTGACTGAACTAAGCTCAAGGTGTTCTGTATTCCTTGCTACCACACATTAGACGAGCTTTTGATAGAGGATTAAAGCATGGTAAAAGCACCTGCAGGCAACATAGAGCTCTATGGTTCTTAATACTATTTTATCAGCTTTAAATTGTAAAATCATTCTTGGCTCCATTTTCTGGCCACATCAGAGTAAGAACACCCCCTGGGCAAGTGACTGCCTCTGGGGGGAAGGCAGAGGTGGGGAAGGCCTGCAGAGCAGCTCAAGGGAACTTTCTGGGGGGATTGGAATGTCGTATATCTTGACTGGGGTGGTTGGTGGTTACATGGTTGGATAGGGTTGTGAAACTCATGTAGTAGTACAACTAAAATCTGGTCTTTTTTTTTTTTGTATATACATTTTATCTAAAATACTGCTGTAGAAAAATTATTTGAAAATTAACTGAACTTCGTTAATTCAAAACATCTCATTCGTGTAGAGAATTGCATTTACTGACTGGGAGTCCTTTGGGGGAGTGGAGGAGAAATTTTCCAGACTGAATGTGTACACTGAAAGTATAATTTTCATGTTTCAATGCTGTGCAGGTATATGAATTTTCAGTTGGACAGTTGGGATGTTACCAAACTTGTCAGAGAATTGGTGGTTAGTAACTTAAAAATGAGAATAAAAAAGCTTTGGTGTAATAAATGACCAAAAGGTTATTGTTTCTGGGTTTGGGCAGCTTGATCATTATGTGTAAAGCACTCTAGTTTATTATGAATTATGTCTTTAAAAGTCCATATTTAGTGTTTTTTTTTTTTTTTTTTACTTTTTGTAACCTTTGTATTTGTTTTCCTTTAGTACATTTTGAACTTATTGAGAAACTTAACATTTGAAAGTATGTCTGATGTCTGATCTCAAAATCAGGTCATATTTTCTCAGTGTTGTGTGTTCTTTGTTTTTTGGGGTTTTTTTTTTAACAGGATAGAAATCTAGGTCATAAGAACACTGCCCAGCAGTTCATTCAAATCCATGATGTTTGGTCTGGTTTTCATAGAGCATTCACTCTGTCAGTGCCACTGAAACTTTTCAAACAGTGCGTACAAGGGACCCGGGGACCTTGTTCAAGTTTGGATTTTGATCCAGGAGGCCTGGGTGGGGCCCGAGACTGCTTTCCTAACAAGCCCCTGAGTGATGCCCGTGCAGCTCTTGCAGGCACCACACTTGGAGTGGCAGGGTCCTGAGCCCTGGACCCCGCAGTTGATTTATTTTCTCCAACTTCCCATCTCAGTCAGGTTTTCACTAGAGCTGAATGTAACAACAACAACAACAAACAACAATAAACACACAAGGGTTGCTTCTCTCATGTAGAAGAAGTCAGGTAGCCCGGCAGGAGTGAATACGGCAGCTCCACAAAGTTATCAGGGATGGAGTTCTTATCTTTTTGCTTTACATCAGGGGCGTGTTCCATTCTTAACTCATGGTCCAAGTGGACCCCAGAGCTCCTTATTCCAGAAGGGACAAGGCACCCGCCTCTTTAGGGCAGCCTTCCCCCCTTCCCTGGCTGTTACCCCTCCCCCACATTCTGCTTACAGATTATTGATCAGAACTTAATCCCATGCCAAACCCAGCTGCAAGGGAGTTTGGGAAAGAACATCTTTTGGTTAAGTTCATTGCTGCCCAAATAAAATCAGGATTATTTATTTAGTTAATTAATTAATTTTTTTTTTTTAACTGAGGAAGAATGGAGAAATAGTTTGTGGCCACAAACCATCTCTGCAACAGAGCTCCAATTTTTCATTCCCATGAATCTTAGTTATAATTCCTGGCTGTTTTACCCTAAATAACTCTTCTTCCTCCTTACTGTTGGCTTCTTTTGTAAATGTAGGCAATTATGTCTTTCTTTCTTTTTTTGGTTTGACAAGAAGTAGCTACTGGTTTTCTATTTTATTTTCATTTTAAATTGCTTCCTCTCTCATTGTGTGTGTGCACGCGCGTGTGTGTATGCAACTTTTGTTGTATTTTTACCCAAAATCTGTAAGCACACAAAATTTACAAGTCAGATATTCTGACAGACGTGACAGAACTCTGGGCTAAACACTTTCATTTAAACAGCAGCAGTCTGGGGCAAACATTATTCCTGATCTATTTTAGATTTCAAAAAGTCCAAGCAGATGATCCTTTAATTTGGTGCCTAAATATACATGGGAGACTAGATATAACATTTAAAAGCTGTAGATCCTTGAGTATGCATATTTGTCATCCACATTCCACTAAAGAGTGTTACATTTAGAACAAATTAGCTTGGCATATAGGACAAGAAAATATTGATTATCAAATCCTTAAAAACAAGCAGAGCATTTGAGATCCCAGAGGCTCCACCTATGGGTTTGAGCTCTTAGTAAGTGTCTTTCTAGACAGATAGATGAGTTTTTACCTTCCAGATTCATCCAGAAGAAATGATTGTCAAGTGCCTATTCTTTCATGGTGTGTTTGAAATAAAACGATTCCACCAAATATGAAATGGAAAAGGGGATGAGCAGTATATATTAAGTTTTTAGTTTGTTTTGGGGTATGCTTTTCACTGATAAAAATTTTCAGAATTTGGGATTGTGCAGGTAGAGCTGGTGCTGAGTTTCTGAAGCTCATCAGGACTGAAATGAAAACGTTAATGTGTGAGACAGATAAATGAAAAATTTAAATGTGAGAGTTCACAGAGGTAAGGTTGTTAATTGTCACTGAAGTGGATCCCTTTTAGGGCAGTATTTTTTAAAGATTCTCAGGTGATTTCTTTGTGTGTGAGGCTGTCGTAGGTAGTCTACATATAATTCTGGCAGTTCCTTCCTGGCCGTGGTAGTTTCCTGGTGTGGGAAGCTCACCTTGTGGGCTCTTCCGAAGTTTGGTGGCTGACCTTGCAAGCTAACATACATGGTCTGGCAAATTGTGCATTTTCTGGGAACACGTAGCTGCTTACTAAGAAACTGTGAATTAATTGCTTATATTGTGTGAGACATAACTTAACCTGCATTTAGAACAAAAGAAGAAAGAAAAAAGAACATTTAAAGATATATAATACAGGTCCACAATCCATTACCAAGACATTTGGAGCTAGGTATTCTTGGAACTCATAATGTTTCATATTTTGGAAAGACAGGATGGTGGATATACTAAATATTTCATAATCATCTAGGGGCTTGGGGCAGCACCCCCTAACACCCTCTCTTAAATCCAGGTCAGGTTTGGTCACCGGAAGAAGCTGGATCAGGTTTTGCTTGTCAAATGAGTTACAAAAAAAGAAACTTTTATTTTCACAGCCCTTTGGATTTCTGAATCTTGGATGAGAGATTGTGCCACTGTAATTCTGTGGTAACCCCCATCTAGGTGTTATCAATCATTAATTAAGACTTTGGGTCTTCTTTGATAAAACCTCTAGCTCCCATAGACTAGTCTCCCATAGACAGAACTTCTTTCTCCCAGGAAGGAGTTGAAAAGCACCTGAGACTCTCAGAAGATTAGGACTCCAGGCTCCTCACTTCCTTCTTTTGGCCACACACCTTGGCCAAAAGAAGCATGGAACAGGGTCTGCATTCAATACCCATCGAGGAAATTTGCTCACCGTGTTGTCTTCCTTCTAAACAGGTGGGTCAGCTGGGGTTTCTTCTCCTCAGGTCAGGAGAGCCAAGAAGCCGAGAGGAGCAGCTGCTCTTCCTTTCTGCAGCCCCCACCCTGAAGCCTTCTCTCTCATCAGACTGAAGGTCTGTTCAGACTTTGCAAGCAACTGTCTGCTATTCTCTTTGGTGGTAATGTTTACAATCGGCCACAGAAGACGTTGTTTATAGGGCTCTTGCCTTTTTCCTTTTGAATTTTTAAAAACCTATTTTGGAAAGAACAGATCAGATGTTGGCGCCTTAGTGATGGAGCAGCTATAAATACATTCCAAGGAATCTTGGGCTTTGCAGTTCCTAGCAGGCAGTAAACTTTCTCACTTGCTGGATATTATCTAAAGACTGTCTATCCCAGGAATTCAGGTGTTCCCCTCATTTCTGAGTCTCCCACTGCTAGTCAAATATTTACCTCTCATATATTTCTACTCTTCCTCACTCCTAAATTAATAAATTCCTTGTTTCTTTCCGAAAGGAGTCTGGAGTTTTCTCCTTTCCAGATTATATTTATATGTATTTATATTTGCCTCCCCAGAAAGTTCAGTGTCACAGCTCCTTGACCTCGGGATGTATGTGCTCAAGAGTCTGGTTCAGACCCAAACTTTACAAATGATCTTTGCAGTCTTCTTTGCTTTCTCTAGTAGTTTATTGGTGTTTGCTAAAAATTTCATTCTACTGGAAAATCTTATTACTGTAATATCATTTTGACTATACAAAGATGGAAGTAGAAATAATAAGAAAGAGCACCAGATTGAAATTTGAATCCTGTGTTTGCCTGTGGCTAGTTGTGCTGAGAAAAGTAATTCACCTTTTCTGGCCCTCAGTTTTTTGTCTTAGGCTGTAGCTAATAATGTCTACCTAATTGGGCTATTCCATTAAATGGAAAAATATAAGTAAAATATGTAACAGAGTGCCCAGCTCAGGGTAGACACCTCAATAGATAGAAGTTGAATCTGAATGGAATTTTTCTTCTCAAGAGTTCATTTATTGTCACAACGTTCTACACAAAGGTATGATGAGCATTGGCCCATTTTATTGATGAGGAAGTAAGGCAAAGGAGACATTTAGTGACTTGCCCACTGAAGCCAGGAAATGAATTCAGGTCACTTGATTTCTGGATTGGATGTAAACTTTTAGGCTGAGAAATTCAGGGGTGAGAGAATTTGATGATTTGGAAACTAGGACTTTAAAGTGATCTTTGGGAAGTAGGCACATTCATATGACATGCTTTTGGGTTTTAATGATATTGCAAGAAAAAATCAAAAGAAATTACCTGAAGTGATTGGAATTTGGTAAGTCATGACTATAATGTGCTCTAGAAGGTCACCTGTGATCAGTAGTGGGCTACCTCTTTTATGTGGGGTGGCTCGATATTTCTGGAGCATCCTGTAATTCTACACACCTCCATGATGCTATTGCTTAATGTGAAATACAGAAGAATTTAGGTCAACTGTCTTGTCCAACAACAAAAACATGATGAGTATGTTCCTGGATCTTTTTATTGCAGCCTCATATACCAGTTGTCTGGAAGTGCCTGAGAAATGTATTCATTAGCATGTCTCTGGAATGCCTTTTAAAACTCTTGAAACTCCACAATCTCAGATGAAGCACTTTTGAATTGTGCTTTATTTGAACTAGTTTGACTATTAGTAATTTTCTTGTCTGTCTTCCCTTTTCTATTAGACAAAAAAGATAATATATTATAATGTGATACTTTATTGTTCTGTGTTGAAGAGTTGCTTCTCACTTGTTTCAATTGTTAGAAAATATAAGGTTGATTTTCTTTTCCTGTATTCATAGTAGTATCAATTATTTTCATCTAACCTATGCTTATCAGAACACACTCCAATTTATGTAACTCTTTCCTGGGGGTGGGGGAAATAGGTAATATAGTGCTTGGGAAAAATCAATGCATATCGGGCGCCTGGGTGGCTCAGTTGGTTAAGCGACTGCCTTCGGCTCAGGTCATGATCCTGGAGTCCCGGGATCGAGTCCCGCATCGGGCTCCCTGCTCGGCGGGGAGTCTGCTTCTCCCTCTCC